ATTCTCGGAAATTCGACCGGATTAAGGGCCTTCGCCACAAGCAACTATCAGGTCCCATGAGTTCGTTACACTTTTTTGCATCTCATGCCAGAACATCATTTAGCGATTTCTGAATATGACCAAGTAGGCTTCGAAAGAGCCCACTTCGTGAAGTAACCTATACCTGATCATGCCCGCCTAGCTGCTTTCTTCGAACTTAAAATCGAAAACGAAGAGAGCCATGTTTTTCACACTTTGATTATGAACTTCTACTGAGCCGGTTGAACCTAGGAGTTCCATTTGCATTGTGATACATCTCTTTGTCGTCGTTCTCCATGCGGTATCAGAATGGTGAAACCTGCTTCTCTCTGGAGACTACAGCCTGGAGAAAATCCTGACCCAGGAAGGCAATCGGTGTCCGATTTGGACCTGCTGTGCTCTCCCATTGAAGGCAACCCGCACGAGTTATTTTGCTATGTGACCGCCACACTCAGATATTTCAGGTACACGGTTGATAGAGGTCTGCCCTCCTTTGGAAAATTGTAGAGGCTTGGACAAAGAAATCCCCATGAATTGACCAGTAATCACAAGAGTGCAACACGAGTTCTGTCAACATCTTCTATCCTATTCCATCCCTACGCGGTGGCTGAACAACGGCGCTACTGCTGATGAGAAGTGGTTGTTCTGACTACCTGCAGAAGCATCAGTGGCTAGATCAATCAGAGGGGCTGAAAAACTGTCAAATACAGCAAAACGTGTTGGTCCACATATGCAGCAAATCTCGAATCAGCCGGTAGGAATTTCACCTCAGCTTCGGCCTTGTAACAGACTTGTTCCCTTTATAACGTATAAGGCTGGTCAGAAAACTCCAACTACTACGCCCAAAATTCAATAAAGTATGTCCGCTCACGACAACCGAGACCACGTGTTTCGAAAATGGCACGGCTCTGGATTTCGAAGCTTAGTTGAGAAGTGCTACCAGATCCACCGTGCAGCGGTGATCAGCCTCCTTCCAAAGGCCAACTATTCTTCTTGCTAAGGAATCATCTTACGGACGAAAAATACGATTCAAAAAAGGAGCTCGAAATCGACCTCACTGCCTTTTCCAGCTTGAAACTGCCGACCTTCTGGGAGCACGGCGTCGACACTCTGGTGGATCGTTGGCAACAAGTCACTGATAGCAACGGTCCATATATTGATGATGGATATTGCTTTTTGTTGAGATAATTAACTCGAAAAATGTTCGAAAGAGGCACGAAATCTTGGGACAACCTAATATTGTTGTTTTCTAAACACTCAAATTCCCATGGAGGCCAGGCGTTCAACCATGCTGAACACATCGAAACGAAATTGAAATACACAGAAGCGAAAGTTTGACCCAAGTCACCCGAGCGTTTATTTACAGGAAAGATTCTGACGTTCATTGATCATGTGATATTAGATAATAGAATGCTCTTTATCTGTTACTGCTCACTCGCCTTTTTAAAAGTTTGGGGGTATGATTTTAACGACACGCGAAAGCGCACGTTGGCAAACCAGCGTTTCGGACCAGCCGGTTCAAGGAAGATGCTGAAATGATCGGCCACCGAGAAGGAGGCGGTATTAATGTCATTCCCAGGGGGATGCGCCCGCGCTTTGGGAGAGACAAAAAGGTTGCGTCACAGGAACGATACACCTCTGTGTTTTCTATCTGCCAGACAGCTAGAGCAGCGCCACTACTCTCCATCCTGAAGCACTCTCCCTGGTAGGTCGTGTTGCTCTGTCTGGCAGATAGAAACACAGGGGTATGGCGATCCAATGACGCAACCGTTTTATGTCTCCCCGAAGGATTGAATCAGATGAGAGGGACGCATCCCGTGGAGGAGGGTGACGGGAGTAAAAGATTGAATCGCCTGGTGCTGACACTGTCCCTCGTGACCCCTTTTCGAAATGGGGTGCAGTAGGAAAAATGGATGATTTCTGCTCAAACTTCTTTTATTGGGGTCATTGATTAACCTGACCACGAGCGACATTCATTTTAAAATGGGCGCTGAAATGCGAGACAGCGAAATTGCATCAACATGGCGGAACACCTGCTTCCACCAAATCATTGGAAACCTACGAAAGGATAAAGGATAAAGCATTTGCCGTTGATCAATCCCTTTTTGGGATGCGGCACGCATTCTACTTCCATTTGTACATTCGCGTAGTGGCATTTGAATGCGATGTGGCCTATACAATGACTTGCGGGGGCCAGCCGATGTTCAAGTCAGTGTTTTTATCCTCCCAGACAAGTCTGGTACCAATTAACCGACCCCGGAGGGATGGAAGGCTTGGTTGGCCCGGGCGACTCACGACCCAGGATTTGATCCCCGGACCGCTCGCGTGGTAAGCGCGCCACTTGTCACTACACCACTTCCGCCCTGAAAAAGCGAATGGAAACTTTATACAGAGTTATACGCATCTGATCACAGAGGAGAGCCTCACAGGTCTGCGGCGTCTAGACGCCAAATTAGGTATTAGCTTACTCCGGAGGCCGGTGTTAAGCCGAAAAAATGAATGTCACATTCGTGTTTAAGACACAGAATGACCCCCGTACGCAAGTTTTCAAGCAATATGTGAAAACACGTGTTACGTCATGTCGATCAAGTATGTATTGGGCCTATCTTTGGACAGCGACCAAGCAAAACATGCACAAAAGAAGAGAAAATTAGTTGATCAGCAGCAATTAGTAACCCGCATGGAAAGTCTTATAGGAAAATTCATTGAATGGCACGTCTGTTGTATAGAGCCGAATTTCGCACAGCCCATGGCTCGCACAAGTTAATGTAGATATGAAGATCCTTCTCGTCAGAAAGAAACGTTGAATTTGCATTCAAAGCTCGTCAGCTTCCGGTGACTCACGGTGTCGCGAAGGGTTAAAGAAGAGATGTGTATCCTATGGAAAGCGCGTACATTCACGGCGTTCACTCATCAGTAACACACACCTATTATACTATTTCAGAAGTACTCACCAGGAGGAACCATTGGTGGCATCCCATGCATCATCGGAAACGGCGGGAACGGTGGCATCCCAGACATCATTGGTGGCATACCTGGCATCGGCCCAGGAGGCATCGGGGGGATATCGTCTTTCCTTTCCCTTTTCGCATCCGGTTCCTCATCTAGAATGTCGTCATAAAAATACTCAGTGAACGAAAAATGGTGATAAGGTGAATGAATGAATGTTTCGTATATAATCCCCACATCCTGGAGCGCAGCTATGAGTATCATTTTCTCAATTCACTTTCTATCAAAAAAACAACTACCACCTAAGATCTTTCAAAAATGAACCACGAGCAAATTCAGTTGTAACTTATGCACTTGCACGTGCCCCTCACCACTGTATTGTTCCCTATACGATGCATGAAAGCGAAAGTCAAATATATGGGAAGCCACAATTCAACGTAACACTACTAGCCCCTCACGAGGCGGAACACTAGGTAGTGCTCCCTAGATAGCTCAATGAAAAGATATTGTGCTATCCAGGGCTGCATCATACCCGTGACAAAAGAAACGCTTTGCTGAATCGAAAAAATCGACAGCGCCACGCCCGAATTTTCTCACCGGAATTATAATCCATGCCAGACGAAGGGGTGGGAGCAGATCCGTGATGTGAGAAAAAATAAGAAAAAAAGAAAAATTACTGAAGACAAACCTCCTCTAGTAGTTCCAGGTGGTATACCCTGCATACCATAAATCTCCATCTGTGATGAGTCCCTCCCGGGGACAGCACCCGGGATCTTGTCGATCGTTTCTTTGTGCACCTATGTTTAGTATTCAGACAAGAAATTCATTGAACTTACTGTCGCTTCGATCTACGAGGTCATAACATGTAAATATAATCTGGCCGGAGATTATAACGTCTCTCCTCACAGAGATACCCTTACCATTATGACCATTTTCACGTAAAATAAAAACGCAACGAAATGGAATGTAAAAAAGCAACTTCTTCAAAAATTACCTGCATGCAGTGAATAGCAAGTCCTGGTCCACTGAACAACTTTTTGTGACAGATGTGACATTTAAAATGTTTCGCTTTCTGATGTTGTATCAGGACTTTTTCATCGTCAAATTCTCGATTGCAATACCTAAAGACAAAACATGGGTGTCAAGGTTGAAAACGCTTTCCAAAAAGGAAAAGAAATCGTTGTGAAAACAGGCGCTATGTAGTGGTGCTTTAGGAAATGTAGAAAGATTAGATTGGTCTGAAAGGGAATGGAGAAGGGAATTAGTACATAACCGTGGTCGCTTTTCCTAACCCCTCCTTCCTAAGGCTGATGTCAGAGTCCGCGATCCTTTGCGCGATTTTCGCGATTTGCGCAATTTTCGCGTTGCGCGTACAAGTACGTACAAATCGTACAAAAATCGTACAAGCGATACAAGTTTACTCCGAATTTGGTGAAAACAGCCGCCGTGACAGAGTGGCGCCAATACGGCTCAGCGTCAAAATTGAATATCATATTCGTAATCAGGGCATCGAATCACCTCTGTAGGCGGAGTTTCGACGAAAATAAAAATTTTTAAATTTTTGGGCAGTAGTAGCGTTTAACACATTGACGACAATGGCACCCGACGTCGGGCGACACCATCTTTCCTGCCGCGTGGACATGGCACACCCGATGTCGTCGGCGACACTTCAAAAACAGAAACTACCGGATGGCCTGGATTTTCCTCTTTCGTTTCGAGCACTCAATGCCACTCTATTGTCCAAGAATAATCCTATTTAATTTGACTCATCGTAGTACACTTTCTACTGGTTCTTGTTAATTCTTAAAAAATACAGAATACCGCTCGTAATATCACGTCACGTCAACAATTACGTCTTGCGCACGCTAATTTGTACGCCCTCAATATCATAAATGACGAACCAGCCCTCCCAAATATTACTCGAAACCTCGCACGTTTCTCTATACTTCGCGCATCTAGATGCAGTAAGGACTGACAATCGACGAATGCGCGCACTGCGTTATACGGAGCCTCGACAGACCCCCATCTACTGTCTCAAGCAGCATCATGGCGATGCAAAGACTACAATTCTTAAGGGAAATCGGTCGTGCAGAACATCCTTCCTCGTTCAACCGTTAAGCCGGTCTCTCATTGACTTGCTTTTCATCCGTTCTGTGCTTTTTTTTTCAAAATCGTCCGTCTTTTCTCCAACGTCCCTCTCGTGGCCTCTATCCGGGCAGACAATTCTTTTAGAAGGTGCGAATTGTCATTTCCGTGATCAGGGTTGCATTCGTGTTCAGGGCAGGGGATAACTCCCATATACAGGCCTTGGCCGAATTTGCAAATAGAAACATTTGTGGCGGCAAGCTAGCTCCAGTCGCACACGCCCTCATTAAATAGCCGCGGGTGTCAGCAAACTAATGACCCATAACTTCGTATCAGACCTCGGTCAGACTCGGCGATTGCGTCGCTGGACACCAGCGACGGAGCCGCCAGCGACGGAGCCGCCAGCGACGGAGCCGCCAGCGACGGAGCCGCCAGCGACGGAGCCGCCAGCGACGGAGCCGCCAGCGACGGAGCCGCCAGCGACGGAGCCGCCAGCGACGGAGCCGCCAGCCACAAGAGCTGGGCAACGGGCGATGACTCATCAGCACACGATCGATATCGGTTGGCAAGGGGAGCAAGGCGGCTCCGTCGCTGGCGGCTCCGTCGCTGGCGGCTCCGTCGCTGGTGGCTCCGTCGCTGGCGGCTCCGTCGCTGGCGGCTCCGTCGCTGGCGGCTCCGTCGCTGGCGGCTCCGTCGCTGGCGGCTCCGTCGCTGGCGGCTCCGTCTCTTGGATCGATCCAGTCGATCGGCCAAAATTCGCCGACGTCTGACACGCGGTCCTCAGCCGCATTGAATTAGTATGAGGTGAGCTCCCACACAAAAAAATACTCTTCCGTTCCTGTGGTCCGAAAACGCTGGCAGAACCCGCGAACTCCGCCCGGCTCGGCCACTGTGTTACAGGGCAATGAGTCCAACGGGAAGGCCGCTGGTGCACTTCACAGGTCTTTGTGTGCCCTCTGGCTCAAATATAACGCACACTCCACACTGAATCTACATACATTCTGCTTTATTTCCTTCTCTTATCCGAACGCTTATTCCCAGAAATGTGCGCTTTCCTGACTGGACTTGCACACGTTTCTTGACCACTGCCCCGTAACCCAGAAATAAGGGAATAGTACCGTTTCCTGTGAGAAAGAATGAAACTTTAGGAGAAAAAAAATGATGAAAAAACCCACCAACACCAAGGCTTCTCGATCTTCTTCTTTTTGCGGCCCATCTTGCACACTGCCTTTGAGACTTAACTGGAACTGTTCAATGTAATGGAAATGATTTCATATTTGATAAACGGAAGGATAAGATCCGATACCAAGCTAAACAAACAACAGCGTGAGAAACTTTTGTAACGGAAAAATGAGCGGAATCGAAAGCAGGCATGAGATGATTACATTAACACTAGTAAAAAATGCGTTTAGACGTGTTCTCGGCAGGTGGGTATTGATTGGTGCCTTCACAAAGGTGCTATCGTGGAAAGGGTCAAGCATGCGGCGCCACCACCACACCGGGAATGGCATATGGCCCTTCTTCAATACTTTGAGAGGGGAGAACTATTAGAAGACACTGAAGTTATCCTACCAAACCTGACAACGGCCATGCAAGCGCCTACCACAACTGCTATTATTAACTGCAGAACTCGGCTTCGAAACGCGTTTCCCACAGAACAAAATAAAGTGCGACTCGGTTACTCACACTTACACCATCCTAATAACTTCGCAACTAAGTTGATGAACTGTCCACGTTGCCAGCAGCTGTATGAGAGAATATCTGTAAAATCCGAAGCGACTGAACTCCAAAAAAAGAAACAAAACACATCTCCATGAACAGCCAAGCCGTGTTCGCCATACGAAAACCAAGACGTCGATTAAAAAAGCTGCGCGCGCGCAAACCGCTCCGCACTACGGAATGTAGCAGTGGACGCTCGCCTGGGTATCGCCCATAAATTAAGGGCCATTCAAGCGAGCCCTTGAAGGAATTGTGGGTAAGAAGAGTTCTCTGTGCACTGTCCACGTGATGGTTTCATTGATATGTACGAACAACTCGAAAACTGCGAAATGACTTTTGTATGCACATCTGAGCCCCAAAATGTTTTGAGGAACACGTGCTGCATGAAGGCCGAGGAAAAGGGAAATTGAGGTTGCCGAATTATCTCGCCGTTTC